TCCTGTTTTGATTTTTTTTCCTTGAAGCCTGTCCCTAATGGGTATGAACTCGTTGTTGTCGACATTTATGTAGGTGGAGACAAGTGCAGAGTAATCTTGTGCTATAAAGCACCCAGCTGCTCCAGTGATAACAGTGATATGATGATTAAGTGTATAGGTGACCTTTGTGCGGATGTACATCTATGTCTTCTAGCCGGGGACTTTAACTTCCCTAACATCGACTGGTCGCAAACAGAAAACGCTAGCATGGGAGTCTCTCAGAAATTCTTGGACCTTGTGAGGAATAATGGTTTCCACCAGTTCGTTCACGGTGGAACCAGAGGGCACAATACCTTAGACCTACTGTTCTGCAATTCGAAAACATTTGTCACCAGGGGTTAAGGTGGAACCACCAATTGGTTCTAGTGACCATGCTAGCATTCAATTCGGCGTTAGGTTGCCCAACGTGTTGAGGAAGAATGTGCTCAAGCGAGACTTCAGGAATGCCGACTACGCTTCAATCTGTGCTTATTTGGACTCTGTTGATTGGTATGGTTCCTTTAACGGCCTAAATGTGAACGAGATGTATGAGATGCTGCTGTTTGTTTTGAAACAAAGCATTGATAAGTACGTTCCTGTGCGCCGGGTCAGGGAAAGTCTTGCGCATATTCCGCCATTTTTGAATGCACTCTACCTTAAAAAGGTCGAGGCGTACAAAAAGGCAATGTTATCTGATTCTTTTGAAGATTGGGAATTATATAAGGTTGAAACCGAGAAGTTTGAGAAGAAAATGTATAAATACAGCTGCCATATTGAAAAGAAAGTCATTGAAAATGGTAGTGCTATTGCCCTTTACAAATATATCAATTCGAAAATCAAATCAAAGGAAAGGATACCTGCTTTGATGGGACCTGACGGGCTTATCGCAGTGTCGGATGCTGATAAAGCAGAGCATTTTGCAGATGTGTTTGGACAAGTTCTTTGTAGAAGATAGTGGCCACGTAGAGAGTTGTGGTGAGTGGACTGACTCTTTCACCCAAATGCACGACTCCATGTGGTTCAGTGTACAAGAAATCTCTGAACTTCTTTCAAGGTGGAAATGTAGTTTCTCGCTCACTCCGGACGACATCCCTCTCTGTTTTGTCAAGAAAGTCCTTCCGTCAATTGTGGGTCCACTTCAGTTCATATATAATTTGAGTCTCTTCCGAGCAGAGGTTCCTAATAGATGGAGACATTCCTTCATAACTCCTATTCCAAAGAAGCCTCCGCACACTATTTCGAATAACTATAGGCCGGTCAGTATTACTTCCGTTTTTTGTAGAGTTTTTGAGAAAGTTGTCAAGAGGGTCATTATCGAGCATTTGGAAAAGAATAAGATTTTATCGGACTCTCAGCATGGCTTTAGGAGAGGCAGGTCAACAGTGACCCAAATGCTCGAGGCAATGAATGATTGGACGATTGCACTGGATGATAAGAAGGAAGTAGACGTAGTTTACTTTGATTTCCGCAAGGCATTTGATAAGGTTAATCATTCTAAGCTTTTGATGAAGCTCAAGCATGTAGGTATCCATGATAGGATTGTTCGATGGATTGAGGCATTTCTCAGTCGGAGGACATTCCAAGTCCGTGTAGATAGGACATTTTCTGCTGTACGCGCTGCGCCTAGTGGCGTTCCACAGGGTGGTGTTCTTTCACCAGTTTTGTTTTGCAAGTTTTTAGTGGATTTGGTGACTTAGGCAATTTGAAAATGAGCTCGAAGACGAAATTTCTGGAGTCCAAACGGCATTAGCCAGATAATCGTAGTGTCCGCACTAGCACGACCGCCAAGAATGAAGGTCATATTCGTAACCAGGATGTTGAATAACCCCTGTGTACAAGTTTTCAGCGGATTTGGTGATCTAAGCACTTACATAAATGAACTCGCAGCCAAAAGTCAGCGCGTCCAAAGTCAGTCTGTGCAATGAGTCGTGCAGAACAACGCAACAATGCACATTTTTGTAGCAACTACTCATCGATGTTCCTCAAAATGATGGAGGAGGGTCGCCGGCGAATGGTTTGCCTATGCTAAGCTCACGCTCCAGCGTCTTTAGATTCATGAAGAGGGCTGACATGGGTATGTATTCCGGGTTATAGTTTCCAGTTGAGAACTGTTCAAACCAACGTCTCATTGTGTATAGACTAAGAGCTTCTTTCCCATGCGCGCTGCAAAACAGAAGTAAGCCTCAAGTGGAACAACACCGGAATGGAAACTTAACAGAACACATTATACCAGAAGCAATACGCCTGCAGCCAAGTCCCCTGGCTACTCATTGTTCCCTTGTAACTGAGAGAAATGAGGCAAATTTCTCAAAGCTTCGAATCTACCTCCACACAACTACCAGCTCGTGTAACTTGTTTTCTTTCATCGCTGTTATAGGTGTAAAGATGCGACTCTATCCAATATACACAGCAGTACGCCACCTTTATGTCCCTGAGCAAGCCACTTTTATTGTCTTACCTTCCTCATTTCCAAACAGTCCCGAGAATCCAACTGTATCCTTGCTTCGTGTTTCTTTGCTGCTACATTCTCTCCCTTAAGCAAACCTTGTGAAAGCTACACAGAACATTGAGACTTTACCAAGAACACAAATAAGTATTTTATTGAATTGAATTACAACCTCGTCAGAGGACGCTAAAAGAAGGAAAGTGCCAAAAGCTTACAATCAGCTTGTCAATTAAAAACGATTTGATCAGAAAGAGGGCTTCATAGTATGAACCAATGAAAGGTGCGAGATCCTTACACGGAATAGTAGTTACTGATTTAGTTGCCTTCTTGGCTTTGAAAATTTGGGTTGTGCGATTAGAATTTTTTTTTCTTTGACAAAGGTCAGGTTTCCCAATTGTGCGATGTATAATCAAAACCTGATAGATGTAGAAAACACAGTTGCGAGTTTCAGCTTTGTTTTCTATTGAAATTTTCGTAGACGTTGAGCTGCTACCACTTTGCAAAGATCGACGGCTGTGCTCTTCTTTCTGGAAATACATCCCGTGATGGGTTACATCGCTCTCGGAACTTAATGCTTCTCACCTTTTTACTCGTGGATTCAAGGGCGATGAATGGTATACGCCACATCTGGTTCAATCGTTCTGTCTCTTTCCTCTTTACTCTTGAACACTTCAAGATAATATTCAACGTAAGAGCGTCAAGGAGCTCATCAAAGCTTACTGGATTGCGTAGCAAACTCCAAAAACCAACGCAAACAGTACGATTAAGATCAAAATGGCTGCGATGATCACCCACACGAGGTACTCTTTGAAAAAATTCATAGGACACTGAAACAACTCTTGAACAATGTAACAAACAAGTATTAGGTTGTCCCAAAAGTTCGTGGACACTTTTTGAATCTCGTATCAGATTTTTCCGCAGCCATTTCGAGATCCAGTTATGTGGTCTATGGGAAGTGTGTGAGGTAAGCATTCCACAGCTTCTTCACCGTCCCTCGCAGTCGCTGTTCTCATATGAAAAACGGTAATTGAAATTCATCATTTTCGACACACTTCGCTATATGAATCTCTGGAATCTGCGAGGTTGAGGTCGTGTGTGACCTCAAGCTGGGTATAGGGGGTCGTAATGAGCACAGCAGTGGCAAAATAAATGAAAGGCTGCCCTTGTACCGAGCAATGCTTATCCGCAGTGGGGAATTCATGAAAAATTTATCCAGTAACTGAAAAACAGTAACAGGTCACGCTCCTCTGTGCTTCAATTTCTACTACTTACAAAAGTAAATGCACTCGAAGTCATCCGAGTCTCTGCATGGAAATGTCGGCTGTGTTGTTGGGAGGCCCTCTTATTGCAGCTGAGGCTAACATGTGGAGCGAAATACGGGTTACTCGAATTTTCGCAGTCATCGAGCTACAGCAAAACTGTTGCGCTTATCAGAAAGAGAAGCACTTCTGGTTCTCAAAACCTCGTAATCTGTTCTGCATTAGTTATTAACAAGGCACTGTCCATTTGAAATGGAGAAATTCGCGTTCAATCAAATGTTTCACTTATTTCGCTCACCACTTATCGTTCACCAAAATATTCGGCGTTATTTTGTCCAAGTCCGATATGCCAGCTCAAAACTCAACAACTACAGTTACACTTTTTTTTCAAGTGGGACTGAATTTTAGTGGATGTGGAGCGGGCCATATCGTGCTTCATTCTCACAGTACGCGAAGCTACCGCAGATATTGCGAGATACATCGCCAGCCTGTAAGTGGGTAGATGGGGTTCGTATGAACACTCCTTTGTAGATGGGGGTAGCAACGCCTGCGCAATTTTCCACGACGTGATGTTTGTCTCTTCTCCTGACCCCGCCCTTACTGATTGCCACCATATTATCTATATTCACTTGCTTTTCAAAGCGTGCTGCAGGACGTATGTGTAAAAGAAGAGCTATTTTTTCCAAAATCTATAAGTACCTGCTTCCCAGAAAATCCACATATGGGTTCCGCCAGTGGCCGATGACCACCTCTGCTGCGCCAGAAGTCAGCCTCGCTAGTGTAGTTAGGGATGATGTTCTTAAACATTTGTCTTACTGAGAAGCAAAGATGAACAAAACTAACAAATGGTCCTTCCTTCTCGAATATTCAGTTCGAACAAGTCGCGCAGTGAATGAAATGCACTTCTCAAATCAACTATTTACACATACCGCACGCGATCCATTGACAAATATAGTTCCAAGTAAGATTTGCGTCCCATCGCTGTCCAGACCATCGAGGTAGAACGACGGCATTCGAATGCCATTATCTGTCAATCGAACCAGACCGGACACACCTACAAGTGTTCCATATGGCACACAAGCACACCTACATACGGTAGTGCAGGTGGACCTCAATATAAAGAAGCAAAATCAGCACTGATTTAGCATATTTTACTTTCTTTTGGTGCTTTTGTGCTAGTTGAGTCTGATCTGAATGCGTAGGTGATCTACACAGATTAACTAGCGCATCGACATTCGAAAGTGCCCTCGTTTCTTTCAATTCTATAAACGGTTGTGGCAAGACTATTGTGTGTCGCGTTGTATGTTATGTAAGTATGTAATGTAACATAAATAATGTTATGCCGACGGTCGACCGAAAGTGGTAGCGCGAGTTGCAGCAGCTGCGAGACCTCGATTTCAAGGAGTGATGTACAAGGCAGGACGGAACATTTTTCGTGTGGGTGACAGGAGGTGATAACACCTGATAAAACTTGATAGAGCCTTAGAAGGGGAGAGTGACCGAGTTAGTGAGTTCGTGGCAAGTTGCAGCTGCTGCCGTCCGCAAAATGCCTCACGTTCGAATTATGAGCATTTTGCGGAAGAACGACCGCTGAGCAAATCGAAAATCGATTTGTGCAGATGTCGATGATGCCAATCCTGTTTTGATTGTGATAACAACCTCCGCTATACAAGACAACCATTCGGTACACTCCGAGCCACTGCACGAGCTGCTGCCGTGGCAGCTGGACATGTGCTCGTGCGGGGGCAGGGTGGGCGAGCCGAGGGGGGGGGGGGGATGCCAAGGGCCCCCCCTCTGCTTCCTTCCCCTGCACGTGCTCAGCCCGACCTGAGCATGTGCAAGTGAAGGAAGCAGAGGGGAGGGGGTACGGTGAAGGGGTCCGGTGAGGAGGCGCGTAGAGCACGCTGAGTGGAAGCACGCAGCAACAGCAAAAGATGAGAAATCAAACGGCGCTGGAAAATTGCAAGTTAATCCATAATAAAGACACTAGAATGTTGTTTTGATTGTGAATACCCTTTATGGGGAAGAAGGTAGAGCGAGGGGAGGGGGCAAGGAAGGGATGGGTCGAGGGAAGTGAGGTTAAAAGGCTGCTTGCGTAGCAGCTGGACGTGAGTGCAGTGGGGCACGGTACGGGAGGACAGGGGCGAGGGTCAGAAGCATTAGTGAAAGCGACAGTTAGAAGAAAGGAAGGTCGACCGCTAGCAGAGTTGAAGGCAATCCATAATGTGCTATCAGCGGTGATGTTTCGGATGTGAAAACACCCTGGACTTTATAAAGCAACCATCTGCTGTGTTCTGAGCCATTGGACCTACGGCTATTTGGCAGCTAGACGTGAACGCGTGCCCTAATCCCTTCGCTACCCTGACTCACTGTCAGGGTAGCGAAGGGATTAGGGCACGGGGGGGTGGGATGGGTTGGTGGAATTACGACCTGGATAACGTAGTGTGCTTTGATAAGAACACACCGGACATAGAAGCATTAGTTGAAGCGGTTATTTGAAGAAAGGATTCGCCGCTAGCAGAGCTGCGAACCAATTCATGATGTGGTATCAATTTAAGGTAATGTTTTGAATGTGAATACGCAAGTATATGCACGACAACCGTTAATTACATTCGGTTCCATAATGGGGTAAGCAAATATGAATTCTCACCCCAACAGAGAAAGCACGACAACAAAAGGATCACTGGGAGTTATGAGGAAAAGAGCGATATCACTGTCATCTTATCCTGCTACATATAATGCGTCCGTGCGTGTGTGTGTCCGTCTGTCTGTCTGTCACGAAATTCATAGCGAGCGTCGCAGAAAAGATAGGATGACAGTTCCAAGAAGTGATATACATGGCAGGACGGGAACACTTTTGGTGGGTGACAGGAGGTGATAACACCTGATAAGATTCGATAGGGCCTTAGAAGGGGAGGGTGACCGAAATCGTAGCGCGAGTTGCAGCAGCTGCGGGACCTTGATTTCAAGGAGTGATATACAAGGCAGGACGGGAACACTTTTGGTGGGTGACAGGAGGTGATAACACCTGATAAGATTCGATAGAGCCTTAGAAGGGGAGAGTGACCGAGTTAGTGAGTTCGTGGCAAGTTGCAGCAGCTGCGGGACCGTGATTTCAAGAAATGATATACACGGTAGGGTGGTGGCTGACAGGAGCTGATAACATCTGATAAGATCCGATAAGGGACCCTAGACGCGGGTGTCACCAAATTCT